TAATTCCTATAGACTTTTAAAAAAATTATTATTTTTATTTATTCATTTATTTTTTTTAATTTATTTTTTATGGTGACATTGGTTAATGAAATCCAATAAGTTTCAGCTATACACTTTAACAGTAAGGCATGTGTATATTTACACTGTGTGTTCACCTCCTATAGGCTTTTTAAATTATAAAGCTGTGATACGCTATTATTTCATATAGCTTTTATTTAGATATGACTATGATCTTTTACTTGAGATAAAGTATAGATAAAACATTAAAAATTCCTAAGATCTTTAAAAATTCCTCATACTTGTTTTTTATTACCCTTATCTACCTCCTCATAGTGATTGATAATCAAAATCTTAAAATGAAAAATGTCATGTAGGAAGACTGCAAGGAATGATATTGAGAAAATAACAAAAATTCACAGCTGAACTGAGAAAGAGAAAACTAGATAAGAAAAAAGGAGGTGACAGCTGTAAGGAAACAAACAAACAAAACTAGGTCTCAAATCCTGGCAGAGTCAGAGAAATGCATCCTGGGCCCAAATCAGCATGAGGCTCTGTGTAATTCTCAAACTCATGGTCTTGAAATTTATTAGAAGCAGAATTCAGGCCTCGTAACTTCCTAATTAATGTCTTAACATTACTCTATGTAATATCATTTGAAACATTATTATATCATTTAATTTCACCTAGAGAATGAAGATACATGCATGAAATATTTTTTTATTTCTTTGTATAGGTTTATTTAATCACTTAACCTATTTTCTGGCTGCCGGTGCTGTTACACTAGGAATTGGTTTCTTTGCTTTGGCATCAGCTTTGTGGTTCCTGATTTGCAAGCGAAGGTAAGGTTTATTAGAATATTTTACTTTTTGTTCTTTTAAAAATCCAATGAAAGACTTTTTCAAATGGCATTAAACTTAAATAACAAAAATAGCATTGCTTCTGTAATTTGAGGTTTGGTTATAGACACTTTGATTGGGAAGGAAAAGCCTTACGTGTTTACAGTAGCCTGAAAGAGAAATCTTAGTAGTGTAATTGTCCAAGTAGTATAAGAGCAATCTTCATGCATTAAAATTTTAATAGTGAAATCTATTGTATTTTTTAGAAGACATACATTTGAATGATAATATAAAGTTAGAATTTTTTAAAAAATTTTCACTACTAATTTAGAGATTATTTGATCAGTTCAGTATTTGCTTTGTCTGATGTAAAAGAATATATAAATTGTAACGTGATCTTCCCACACACTCTTCAGTGTTCACTTTCTCAGCAAATGCATACATTACTATCTATCCAATTGCACAAGTCATAAACTAGAAATTATTCACTTATTCATTTTTCAACAAATATTTATTGGGTGCCTGCCATTGTTCTGTGAACAAGTCAGATGAGGTTTCTGTCACATAGACTTACGGTGACACTGGGAGGAGACAGATATTGAACAAATAGATAAAGTGGTCAGGAATGTCTCTTCAAATGGAGAGTATGTAATCTGAGACCTGAGTGGGAAGGAGACAGACATGTGAAGATCTTATGGAAGAGGTATAGCAAGTTCAAAGACCCCAAGTGGGAGCGATGTTATTATTGTTCAGTAAACAGAAAGGCCAGTGTGAATCAACTGTCCTGAGGGAAAAATAATGATGAGATTGAAAAGGTAGATAGGGGCCAAGTCACATAGGAATTTGTGGGCTAGAATATGGAGTTTGGATTTTATTATTTGTGCTATCAGAATTATATAAGCAGGGAGATGACACATTATTATCATAATAATAGCTGACATTGAGTGCTTACTACATACTAGGCACTGTTGTGCTTTATATGTTATCTCATTTGGACTTCATAATAGCCCTATGAGGGAGCAGTAATATTATCCCCTTTTAAAGACTCAATAATGTCACCTATAGATAAATGACATTTTTATAACACTTCTTAAAATTTAAGGTATAATTTACATACAAAAAAGCATGTAAATTTTAAATGTATAATGATGAATTTCAACAAACACATTTCTATGAAACCACAATCCCAGTGAAGATACAGAACTTTTCCAGCACTCTATGAAGTTCCCTCATGCTCCTTTCCAGGCATCACCGCCTGCCTCCCACCCAGAGGCAATCATTCTAATTTTTATCACCATAGATTAATTTTCCCTATTATTTTTTGAAATTAAATTTATTGAGGTGACATTGGTTAATAAAATTATATAGGTTTCAAGTGTACAATTTAATAATATATCATGTATATTGCATTGTGGAATAATATGGACTTTGCTTTTTTCACTTAACATAATGTTTTTGAGGTTCATTTATATTTTTGCATTTATCTATAGTTCATTCTTTTTATTGTGAGTAATATTCCATTGCATGAATATACCTGTTTATTCATTCTTCTGTTAATGGACATTTGGGTCATTTCCAGTTTTTAGTTATTAGGAATAAGGCTGCTGTGAACATTCATGTGTAAATCTTTTTGTACATGCACTTTCACTCCTTTTGGGGAAATACCTAAGAGTGAAACTACTGAATTATGTTTATAAGAAACTGCCAGTTTCCAAAGTGGGTGTATACTCCAAATGGCAATGTATCAGAGTTCTGATTTATATTTTTTAAAGACTTTTCTTCTCTGTGAAGCCTGAATTTTAATGGAGCATGGATGAAACAGACAAGTTAGGAGGCTTTGTATAGTCCAGGGAGAGGGGATAGTGTCTTGGACTAATATGGAAGTAGAGGAGATGAAAACAAGGGGTTGGATTTGGTTGAATTGGATGGGGTAAGAAAGAATAAGTGAAATGGCAGAATTAATGGTAACACCTACGTTTTTACTATGAGCAACTGAGTAGTTGATGCCATTTACTGAGATGAGGAGATAGTTAGAGAAGTGAGGTGAGGGAGTGGTGACAAATTAGGAGTTTTATTTTGGATGTAATTTTGAAAGTCTATTAGATATCCAAGTGGAAATTTCAAATAGACAGTTGGATGTACATGTATGAACTTCAGGAGAGACATCAGGACTGAAGGTTTAGGTTACCCGAAATAACAGGACTGGATGAGACTAACTAAGGAGTGATTATTGAAAGAGAAGAACCTAGGCCTGTGCCCTTCAGCCTCCCAACATTTAGAACTCTAGTGAAAGAGTAGAATCAATAACATCTGGGAAACATGTCAAGGAAGTCAAAATTATGACATTATGAAAATGTTTCAAGAAGGAAGCAATGACCAGTTATGTTCCAGGTGCTTAAAAAGTTAAGATGTGTGAGGATAGAGAAATAATTTCTGGGTTTAGCAACATGGAAGTTATTGATGGCCTTAAAGAGTTTTGGTGGAGGAATGGGTTCAGAAGCTCACTTTTGAATAAAACACAAGAGGTGAGGAAATTGAAACAAATATAAATATCTCTTTCAAGGAGCATTTTATGTGTGTGAAGGAGATTAGATAAATGGGCCAGTAGCAGGAAGAGAATGTGGGATCAAGGAAGGGTATTTTTTTCTCTAAAGATGTAAGACATGCTTGATATTTTCCTTTCTCTTTCCCATCTCCACTAAATTTGAGCCATCACCAAGTTCTATTTATTTTATGTTATAAATTGCTCAAATCAATTCATTTTTCTCCATTACCACTGCCACCACTTTATCCTAATTATCATTATCCTCCACATAGACACTGCAGTAGGGGTTATAACTGACGCCCTACCTTCGCTATTGCCCTCATTTAATCTCTTATCCACACTTCAGCTAGACATTTTCCAAACGCAGATCTGATCAAGTCACCCCACCCACACTATATTATAAAGGACTTCCCATTGCTTTTAGGATAAAGACAAACCAACATGACTTTCAAGTCCCTACATGGTCTGCCCATGCATACTCCCCAATTTCATCTCCCGCTTTCCCTCTTGCTCTCTGTGTTTCTGCTATACTGTTCTAATCTGGCCACTGGGTCTTTGGACTTGATACTCTCTGACTAGAATGTTCTTACTCCCACATCTCTCCTCTTCCACCTCTTTCTACCTAATAACTACTACTATTTCTTCAGATGACCGATTTAGTCATCCCATCCTCAGAAAAGCCTTCCCTGACCTCTGTAATGATTAATTCCCTTTGTTCCATAGTACTCACACAGTACCAGGTAGCTTTCCTTGATAACACTTTCCACACTTGTAATTTTTTATTTTCTTGTGATTATTTTATTAATGTCTGTCTCCCTTACTAGTGTTTAAGCTCCATGAGAGCAATGACAATTCTATGAGGGCAGTGGCTATGCATTTTTTTCTTTTGCCACTATGGATACAATACCCAGTACAATGCCTGACACATAGTAAGTATTCAATACATATTCATTAAGTGAATTGAATTCCACGAATAAATGAATCCTAATTGTTAATACCTCATTAAATAACATAATATGGACTCTTGAATTAATTTGGAAAATTTCCAGTACCTCTGAAAGAAGAAATGGCAATTAGCATTATTTTTTAAATCATGAGCTTTATAATGACTATTAGAAACTATATTCCTCTATACTTAACTATTTTGATCATCTGGGGTTATACTTGCTGATTTATTATTTATTATTTTAAACCCTCTTTCAAAATTGTTTCTAGTTGCATGGATAATGAAGGGACTTTTCCTTTGTAAGCCATTAGTTTCAATCCAGTTTCCTTCCACTTACTTTTGCTAGAAATATTATTAAATATAAAATTGACTATTGAGTTTCATTTTATTTAATTTATTTTGCCATCAAATGCAAATTTATGAAAAGACTGATTAACATTAAAGTCAATTAATTATTTCACAACCAGAAATAATGGTATCAAAAATTCTTGGTTAATCTTCAAAGTGGAAATATTAGCCCTGCATAAGGAGTAGCTTAATTTACATTCTATGAATAAAATAGATATAATGAAATCAGTAACGTGAGAAGAGAATATGTTGATGTGTGCTTTTAAAAATAAATATGTAGTAACATTTATACTGATATTTAAACTCTTATATGTAACTATTGGAAACAAAGTAATTTTCACTGATTTATAATATAATTCATGTTTAATAATATTCTTTATAAAATATTTTTCAGAGAAATATTTAAAAATTCCAAATTTAAAGCAACTGATGAGAGATGTGGGCAAATACCATCAAAGCTGAGGACTAAATCTCATTCTCAGTGTGTTTTTATTTCTCGAAATTTTCATACTGGAAGATTCCAATTACAGGTAGAGTATAATACTTTATAACGATCTTTTCAAAAAATTTCTTTTGATACCATGTCATTAGCATTGTTGTCTTTCAAGTTGAAAGACAGAGTATCCACCGTTATTTTTAAATCTGAGGGACAATAACATGAGCTAAATTTAAATTACCCAAACTAGTTAGAGTTTATACTATAGGAAACTGAAAAACTAAGTAAAAATGTCTCCTTCTACAGTTGCTATACTCTATCACTAGCCTGAAAACCTGCATTCCCCATATTGGGATTGTTACAGGGATGAAGATAAATGGCATAAAAAAAAAAAAAAATGAAGGAAAATTGCCAGGCATATCAATGAGGAAAGAGATTTGGAGAAAAGAGAATACTCAGATAACCAACTCTAACCAAACCAACTGATTGAAATTAAATACAATTTAACAAGGATTTATTAAGCCTTCGTTACATTCTAAGCTCTGGGCCCCTTCAAGAGTAAGATATGAACACTACATTTGAGGTGCTAGGGTAGTACAAGTGCGAAAGGCAGACACATAATTAACTTTTTGTTACTTAAGTGTCAAAACAGTGCTATATGGACAAAGTAAAACAAGGGAGAGACCAGTAGAAACTTAAAACTATGACACAGCTAACCAAAACAAATACTTTATTTATTTTTTTTTAGGCGAGGCAACCCTTGATTGACCTCACATATTGCAAGGACCTTGTCAGCTTACAGTCCCTTATTTTTTTATTTTTATTTTTTACGCCTGCAGCACCTGGTCTTCCCATCCAAGTACTAACCAGTACTAAGAAGGCCCGACCCTTCTTAGCTTCCAAGATCTGATAGGATTGGGCTCGTTCTGGGTAGCATGGCTATAGACTTTAATGGTCTTATAACATTAATAGATAAATAACAACAAAGTGATAGGATGTCAAAGTTTCATTATACATCTTGAATACTGAGCTCAAGTTGAATACAGTGTTTATTCATTTATTTAACAAACATATTTTGAGTGCCTTTAAGGCAACACTAGTTTTGGCACTGAGGCTACATAAACAAATAAGACACGAGTCCAGACCTAGATGATCCCAAAGTTAGTAGAGGAAAAAAAGTATAAACTAAAAATTATAACATAATATGATAAGAGCCACAAATTGAAGAAATGCAGACAAGGGAGTATAAATTAAGAAAGGCTTCACAGAGAATATGATTTTAGTTGGGTTTTGAGAAATGAATAGAAGTTTGCCGGGAGGAAAGAGAACAGTCTGTGTTCAAAAGCTTGCAGCTATAAAAGGAAGTAACATGTTCAGAAAAATGTTATAATGATTGGAGCCTAGGGTTTATAGAAGGGAGTGGTGGAAAAAGATCCTGGAGGTGACATCGTGAGGAGTCTCATTTGCAGTTTAAGGATTTTAGATTTTACCCCATAGGTTCTACAGATCCACCGGAGGCATTATGGGATTATGGTCAAGAGCATAGACAGTAGAGGTTAGAATCCTGGCTCTACCACTACTAGCTATGTAATTTTAGTAAAGTTTTGTAACTTTTCTATGTCTCAATTTCCTCATCTGCAAAATGAGGATGATTTCATCTCCACATAATTGTTAAGGGAATTGAATGAATTCGTATATAAAAAACACTCAGAATAGTGCCTGGCCACATCATGAGCACCATAAAGTATACTATTATTATTATTTCAGGGTTTTAAACAGGGAAGTTTAATGATCAAATTAATTCTAAAGATTATTAGCTCTGACCTTCAAATGAAGGATAGTTTGAAATAGAGATAACATTGTAGAAAAAAAATGTTTCTATGTATTCATTTAATATTAATTTAATTTATTGAGTACCCATCACATACTAGGAATTTTGCTAGGTACTATTGATGTAATGGTGTCTTCATATCTAGCGGTGGATACATACAAAAAGGTAATTACAAAAATGTCACGAGTGCTCTGATGGCAGAAGTACATATGTAGGAGTACTAAATTTTAATTAGCTTGTTTATTATTCATTCAACAAATATATAATAAGTGCTTATGTGCCAGGCAGTGTTCTAGGTAATTGGAAATTTGGTAGTGAATGAGTCCCTGCTCTCATGAGATTTATGGTCTAGTGGGAGAGATAAATAATATACAAGTAAACACTAATCATTATTTAGGACTTTCGATAGTCAGTGAAAGGAACCTAATTCAGAAGAAAAGAGTATAAAACATAGCATGAAAACATAGCATAAAAGAATAGATAGTGTTGACTGCAACCACAATCAGTTTCAGTAAATAAAGTACTTCTTTTTATATTGTCCCTCTTTTTCTTCTCTCAGTTTCTGCCTATGTATTGGCCTCTTTCTCTCCCACTACGACAGGCACGCAGGAGGATGAAAATTATAACAAAAAATATGGTTTAATATAATATAGATCTAGAGCTTGGTTCCTAAAAAGTATTATTGTGAAAGATAACATATATACAAAAGAACACACACACAGTTTAAAGAATAATAAGTGGAATTTTTATTCCCACCACCCAGAAAAAGAAATTGAATATTACCAGGAACTTTTGAGATATCCTGAATATTTATCTCTTACACTCCCACCCTTCACTGAAGGACCCACTTATCCTATCTATAATTGCAATTAACCATTTCTTTGCTTTTCTTTATGATTTTACCACAAATGTTATAAATCCTCGAACAGTGTATTATTAAATTTTATATGTTTTTGGGCTCCATGTCTTACCTTTTTGTGCAATATTACATTTTTGAGACTCATCCAGGTTGGTGCAGCATGCCCATAGTTTATTATTTTTACTATTATATGGCATTCCATTAGATGAATATATCAAATTTTATGTTATGGACATAATTTGGATTGTTTGCAGTTGTTTTTTAAGGAATTTTCTTTAGGGAATACACCTGACGGTGAAATTGCTGACTTATGGGGTATGTGCATTTTCAATATTATTAAATAATTCCAAATTGTTTTCTAGAGTAGCTGTATCAACATACATTCCCCCAGGGCACACATAAGTGCTAGGATTGTTCCATATAAAAAAAAATTGATATTTTTAGGCTCCTAAGTTTTTGACAATCTGATGAATGTGTAAAAGTATCTCACTATTGTTTTTTCTTAATAGACTTTATTTTTTGAGCAGTTTTAGGTTCACAGCAAAATTAAGCAGAAAGTACAGAGTTCCTGTATACCCATTTCCCCTATACCCTCCCCCACTGTCAACATCCAGAGTGGTACATTTCTTACAATTGATCAACCTGTATTGACACATCATTATCACCCAAGTCCATTGTGTACATTAAGATTCACTCTTAGTGTTATACATTCTATGTGTTTGGGGAAAAATATATATATCTATATATATTTGTCCAAACCTATAGAACAGAGAAGAAGGTAGACAACAGGGGTGAGGGTAGAAGTGAGAGGGGCAGAGAGAGAGAAATCTACCATTATAGTATCATACAGAATAGTTTCACTATCCTAAAAATCTTGTCCTCTGCCTCTGCCTATTCATCCCTCCCTCCTCTCTAATCCCTGACAAGCATTTTACTATTTCTGTAGTTTTGCCTTTTTCAGCATATCATATAGTTAGAATTATGTAGTACATAGCCTTCTCAGATTGGCTTCTTTCACTTAGTAAGATGCATTTAAGTTTCTCCCTGATTTTTCAAGGCTTAATAGCACATACCTTTTTAGAACTGAAAAATATACAAGTATATGGGTATAACACAGTTTATTTATCCATTCATTTATTGAAGGGCATTTTGGTTGCTTCCAAGTTTTGGCAATTATGAATAAACCCACTATAAATATTCATGTGCAGGTTTTGTGTGGACATACGTTTTCAACTTATCTGGGTAAATACCAATGATCATGACTGCTGGATCAGATGATAAGAGGTGTTCAGTTTTGTAAGAAATTGCCAAGCTGTTAAAGTGTACCATTTTGCATTCACACTATCAATGAATGAGAGTTCCTGTTGCTTCACATCTTTACCAGCTTCTGGTGGTCAGCGTTTTGGATTTTCACCATTATAATAAGAATATAGTGATAATTTGTTGTTTTAATTTTCATTTCCCTAATGACATATGATGAGTAACAGCTTTTCATATGCTTATTTGCCATCTGTATATCTTCTTTGGTGAAATGTCTTTTCAAATCTTTTGCTCATTTTTAATTGGATTGTTCATTTTCTTATTGTTGAGTTTTAAGAGTTCTTCGTATTTTTTTTTTAACAGTCTTTTATCGGATACATCTTTTGCAAAGATTTTTACACAGTTTGTGACTTGTCTTCTCATTCCCTTGATATCTTACTATAGTTTTAATTTGTTTTTTCTTGTCAAAAATTAGGTGATTGTCTTAAAGTTCATTGGCCATTATGGTTTTTCTGTTATGTAAAAGGCCTGTTCGAATCTCACCTCTTTTTCTATTAGTTTGTCTATTTATTATAAAACTTTAAAAAGAGTTATATATTCTGGATAACCAATCCTTTGTCAGTTATGTTAATTTTAATATCTTCATACGTTTTACAACTTTCCTTCTCACTACTTTTATAGTGCATTTTGATAACCAAAAAATTTCTTTTATTTTTAATGTAACCTAATTTCTCAGCCCTTTCTTTTATCACTTATTGTTTCCTTCCCTACTCCAGAGCCATAAAGATACCCTTCTATATTTCCTAAGAGTTTTATAGTTTTGACTACGTAGGTCTTTAATCAATCTGGCATTGATTTCTGTGATTGGTGTAAATAGGAATCCAATTTGACTTTTTTCTGTATGTTTGCCCAACTGTCTAGTAGCATTTACTGAAATTCTTTTGGTATTTAGAGGGCAACTGCAGTATAGTTTTAGATCAATTTGAGAAAAGCCAATTCTTTACAACATTGTTTCTAATCCATGAACATGATGTTTTGCTGTATTTATGTTATTTTTAATATCTTTCAATAAAACTTTATAATTATCTTCATAAAAGCCTTGCCAATCTTATATCAACTTTTATTACAGGAAAATTGATATGTT